TGTAGAGAACATGTGAAAGAAGCCAACTTGCTTCTTTTAAATGTTAGTTTATTACAAGTGGGAAGATATGTGATGAAAGCATGTGATGGAAATGCAAGTTCCCCTTTTGATATTATTTCTCCATGCAAATTGGCAAGTGAAATACAAACTGCCCAAGTTTCTTTCAGGCAGATGCAATGTCTTCAGCAGGGGGTTTCCTCCAAATCTCTATTTAAAGGAGCCCAAACACAAGGATTATGGACACTCAATCAAACAAACAAATACAAGCACAAACTCTGCTTAAACCAGATTTGCCTTCAACGAAGCTGTAGTCAGCCCAAGCCTTCATCCCTTTCGGGATCAACCCTCACCCAAAGCCTTTGTAATAGCTCTACTACCTTGTCTAAAAAACTTGTTGTAGTATCGATTTCCTTTTGTAAACCCATCTCCCTACCCCTCTTTCTAAGCTCACAAACCCCTTGATAAACCACAAAGATAGGAAGTTGCAAGACGATCAGCCTTGCCCGACAAGGTGAAACCTTGCCCGACCCTCTTTGTTTTTGTCTTTTCATTCAGTAGTCTAGCAATATGTTGTATACTTCCAGTTGTATCCAACTTATTTCTGGCAAGTTGATGATTAAAAAGGCTCCTCAGTTCTTGAATCTGATTTAAATATGTCTTCACAGATTAAATCAGATCTAAGTTCTAAGCCCTTGGACATGTAAGATTGATCATTTAAAAGTCCTTGGTCTCAAGGCATAAAAAAGAACTTTATGTGGACTTAACACATCCACGACAGTCTTTGATAAACAAGAAGTCCGAAGTTACTTGGGGCGCAGGTAATCGACCTATCCCTTAGTATTATTTCTATTATATTATGATTATCGTAGAACGTTTGAGCATAGAAGGAATTCTGATGGGAAGCCTCAAGGCCTACACCTAAGGCCCTACAAAGGCACCTATTTGGATTCTTTCTGCTTTTCGGGCTCGGGTAATTAGAAGTATAATAGTCATAATACTTATGTAATCAATGAAACAAACATTATATATTCAAGTGGGTTAGTTCCTGATTGGAAGCCTCAAGGCCTACACCTAAGGCCCTACAAAAGCACCTTTCATAACTAAAACAGCCTCTCGGGTATATATACAACTAAAACTCAACATCCGTTTTACATCTGCCATGCTGAAGATGGCAGTGGCACGCTTGAGCATTTAAAAGTTAATCTTGATTGTGAGCCTCAATGCCTATACCTAAGGCCCCACAAATGCGTCTTTCAAAGTTAACTCTGTCATTCTCTTTCAGCCTTGCTCGACAAGCCCGCCAGTGAAGCAGAAGCCCGACAGAAAGCATCGACCGGCGCCAACCTCTTGGGGAGCTGTGCGCTCGTCGGCTAGGAAACATCCCCAACGGAAATTCTAGCCACAAACAGCAGCATTCGACACTAACTTAATTTATTGACTTACACCAAAAGGGTATAGGTGTCTCCGTCCCTTAAGATGTCAACTTCAAGACCCTCGGATGTTCCAGTTTTTTTTGAAATGTGAGTAGAAATTAGAAAACATCTCCATATGACCTTTTTTAAAAATTGAAAAGATTTCATAAATTCTACATTTCAGATAATCAATCGTGAAGGATAACTCTACAAAATGCATTGCCCATCCACCGAGAGCTGAATGAGTTTCATAGATTTTGGGGGGGGGGGGTCTTCAGATAAATAAAGCCAAATGTTTAATACCAATCTCAACCACCAATTATAAGGTTAAATGAAAAAAAAAAAAAAATCTCTTTCATAAGTGGGGTGCTTATTCGAGCGTTTGAGTTCAAGGGAGAGACTAGATAGAGAGAGGATTAATGGTGGAGATCTAATATCAAGTCTCAAAACAAAACGTGCGTTTCATTTATTTCTTTTCCCAACGGTCCAAAACGACCTCGTTTTGGGCTTGGATAAACTTAGCAACTTTATCTTTTGACACATTAGAGATGCTCTTAGTGATTCTTAAAGAAAAAAAATTATTTATTTTACGGCCATAAAATTTAGAGGGAAAATTTGGAGAGAGTTGGAGATTTCACTGTAGATGGTACGATTTCTTACTTTGTGGATGCTTATGCCTGTTCAGAGAAAGAAAAGAAGAGAGAGTTGCTCATGTTCTTGCAAACCAGCATTCAAAACTCAGTTAGAATATCTTCAAAGTTTGAACAGAGAAGTGGATGAGTTTGTGGAGACAAAACTTGGTTATAAAAATAAAAAAAATAAAAAAAAATAAAAAAAAACACTCTTTTTGTTTCCTTACATCTCAAGCAATCAAAATCAAGATATATCTTTTGTTTTTTTTTTCCAAGACGAAAATAACAATTACAAAGAAAAGGCCTTGTGGCAAGAAGAGCTAGCAAAATCCCGTAATTGATTTTTAGAATTACGCTTTTTTGGTGAAGCATTTAACTCCAAGATTCCATGGTAAGGGGAATAGCGGTAATCTATGCCCACTTATACAAAGTGAGAGCGTGGAGAGAAATTGTAGAATGCTTAAGATAGTGTGATTCTCTTTATGCCCCCATTTATTAATTGTAATCTAAGAGGAAGGAGTGACTTATCATCTAAGAAATTACAATTCTAATAGGAAAGACTTGTCCTCCAAGAAATTACAATTCTATGTATGCATGTGCTCATTATTATAGTGATGGTGTAAATCCTAGTTATTAGATTGAGTTTTAGATTACCTTATTTTAGTGATTCTTTACTATTAGAATTGTAAGTACTTGGAGGATAAGTTATTCCTTCCTCTTAGATTACTATTAATAAAAAGGATTAATGTTAGGGTGACTAAATTTGTAGATAAAATTTTGTAAACTAAATGATATGGAAGTTGATTACTTAAACGTTGATAGACGTGCTCATTCATATTGGTGACACATCATTTAGTTTGCAAATTTTTTGTCTATAAATTTAGTCTCTCTAGCATTACCCTTAGTAAAAGTATTGACATGTGAGAATCACACAATCTTAAACATTCTACGATTTCTATCCACGCTTTCACTTGCTGCACCATCTCTCAACCCTTTAGAAAATGGCCACAACATATATCACAATGTTATGGTAAAATGTTCTATTCTTGTATAATTGGCATAGATCGCTACTAGGATTTGGAAATTGGGAGGTAGCGTTCTTAAACGCGTTAGTTATCCGAAATTTCTAGAGCATACACCAATTAAATGAATGGTTGGATCATGTGGAGTAAAAGATCCAACGGCCAAAAATAAAAGATTTGTGCCCTGAAGGCTTGGCCATCAGGGTGTTTGTGTGTGTAATATGTGAGAAAATACACTTGTTTACCGGTTAAATCTTGCTCCCCTTACCAACCAAACAAAAACAAGAAGAAGAAATCCTAAACCACACCCCCGACTATATATAAATAAAATCCAACGACTTCGAAAATTTTGCCAACTTAAAACATGAAACCTGCTTGAAATCCATGACCCGTTTTATGAGGAACCAGTTTGATTTTATATTTTTTTCCACAAATTCGTGGCTCCTCATTCTAATCCTCCCCAACTCTACCTCGTCATCTTGTGAGACATTGGCAAAATGCTGCAAAAATTAATAGTGTTGTGAGAACATTGTCTCGATTGAGTTAAAGTTGAGAAATCATTACCACATTTTTCTCTAATGCAACATATGTTAGGTGCCAAAAAACTGCGGTGTATATTATACTGCTGGTGAAAATTATGTAACATACACATAACGTTTAGCAAACTTGGGAGAATAAAATCACTTCCAAGTCAAAATAGTTAGGAGAAGAAAGTAGGCAAAATAAGGCCGTTAAGGGTCAAATCTGATCCAATTTGACCCGTCTTGCCATTCCCATATCATATTAGATTGTCGGAAGCAGTTGTAGCAAGTTCCTTTACAGAAAAAGGATCATTTTGACTTTCAAGTGACTAATTCACGAAAGAATTTCTTGATGACATTTTTGGCACCAAACAATATCGCGTAAACATCAATTCCAAATTTGGTGAATTTGTCGTACACATCGGAATCTAACGTAACACGATGAAACATATTATTAATTAATAGCAAAAGAAAAGAAAGATCATTTAGTAAAAACACAAAAGTCTTAAATCTTTTTATCTTCATCAAAACCAACAGTTGATATCCTAGAGTCCGACACAAAGTAGTACTTGTTTTTGTATATATAGACAACAACAGTGATGCCGCTTTGATCATCATCGTCTGCAGCATTAAAAAAATAAATACATAACCAAATAACAACAAATTCAGTACAAAGAAACAACAATAACATCAAACATTGCAGAAAATTGAATGCTGCAAAAACTGAATGCCAATTTTTTTTAGAAACATTGATGAATAAAAGAAAAGAAAAACGAAGGTCCAGCAAAAAAAAAAGACAACAAGAAGAGAAAAACAATGACGAAGAAATTTGAAACATGACATGGTCTGAAAACCTGAAAACAATCTGGTATGCATCTTGGCCACATGGGAATGAGCGTGCTCTTGGCCACCTGGGAATGAGCTGGACGCCCGAGTCTATTCGCTCACAACAGCAACAAAAGACTATTTCAGCCAAATCACTAACAACCGTCTCTGGTGGGTAAAAGGACGGCAACGGGCAGCTCATAACACCGTGACCCGCCTCCATGCAAAAACAGCGGAGGGACTCTTCAACAAAATCTGCAACCAAACCAAAAAAATAAAAAAAAAAGTTACTAGTTACTTCAATAAATTACACTAAAAACCGCGTTCCTCAATCCTGAATCTGACTACATATATACCACTACATTCTTAAAAGCAAGTTTGAATCGTTAATGAAACATATGAAGTTAATGGAGAAGCTAGCTGCAGCACATTGCTGAAAGCACATATTTATGAACGAGTTACTGAATATCGACAAATTACTAGTTACCAAATGTCCATTCTCGGAAGCAACACATGGATAATAATATCTCCCCAAAACATCACAAGAAAACAATTGATGCAACCAGAAACTGAAGACCAAGAGAACAACATATCTACTGCCTATAATGGGCTTTTCTTCTATTTCCCTTCGGAAAGGTAAAAAGTTCCTAGTCACTTTATATCTTTCCCTATTGCCTCGTTCTTTCTGGTCGCATCAATCGACAAATTACTAGTTACTTCAATAGGTCGTACCTAGTGCACAAGGCTCCCGCTTTACGCAGGGTCTGGGATAGGTGAATGTTGGCTAGCCTTACCCCTATTTATGGAGAGACTGCTCCCAAGTCTCGAACCCGAGACCTACCGCTCATGGGCTAATGTACTTGCCATCGCACCAAGTGCGACCTCTTTACTAGTTACTTCAATAGATTACACAAAATTTTAGGCAACTAAATTCTTTCCCAGAACTACACATGGATAGTCTACACACCTATCAATTCCCAGATACAGAAACTACAACAATAATGAGCAAAAAATTGTTGAGAATTTTACTTGATTTTTGTACCAATTTCCTCAGGGGGTATATGCGCCTTAAATACTATTCTCAAATCAATTGAAATTACTCTCGCGATATCCCAAAGAACTTCATTCAATTACATAAACCAAAAATTGAATTAAAAAAGGATAAGTTTCAATATCAGAAATTCTGTTACCAAAACGAAATAATAAATAAAGAAAGAAATTCGTCAAAACACAACAAAAAGCATACGCACCAGCAGGTTCATCTTCTGCCTCACCAAGCGGTGATTGTTAGCTGGGACCGGTTCCCGATCATTCGACGCCACGGGATCTGTGTCTGTAAAAGGGAGTAGTAAGAGAGTGCATAAATTTTAGGGTTTGTTGTTGTGAACTTGTGTGGTGGTGGGGCATTGGCAAAGTGTTGCAAAAATTAATAGTGTTGTGAGAACATTGTCCCAATTGGGTTAAAGTTGAATGATCATTGCCACAATTTTCTCCAATGCAATATATGCTATGTGCCAAAAAAAAAAAAAAAAAAAAAACTGCAGCATATATTATACGACGCAACATACACATAACATTTAGCAAACGTACGATAATAAAATCACTTCCAAGTCAAAATAGTTAGGAGAAGAACGTAAGCAAAATAAGGCCGTTAAGGTATGCCATGCATCCTGGCCACTCTATACGACACCGTGACCCTCCTCCATGCAAATTATACAGCGGCGGGGCTTTCTAAAATCGCAGATATAAAAAAAGTTATGTAATCAAAATTTTCATATTCAGAATGAATCATTGAGAAAAACACATAGCATATTGTGTGTATTACCTGGAGAACGGTTTCTGAAGTGGCTATTTGTATTCTGCAGTCTGGCTTTGAAAGAGGAATGAGGTTGAAATATGGAGGGTGTCTGATTTGTGAGGGCCTTGATATTTATACCTCACACTCTAGAATACATCAAAATCAATCCATTTATTGATTCCAATAAATTCCCTGACTTTTTGAGTACTCTCAGATTTAGAAAGTCACTCTAGAAATCTGGATTAAATACCACCAGATTTTGAAGGACTCTTTATACATCTTAATTGAATGCAACCTGCATTTCACTGATTCAATTAAAATCTTAATTGAATGCCCATGAATTTTCAAACTCCTTTAAAGTCTCATATAATCCTAATTCAATACAACCTCCTAAGATAATTTTCCAGATTCATATAACTTTTTTAGATACAGTCACAGTGCCGCATTTATTTGTGGTTATGAAAATAAGTTAAGTTGTTTTAAATGTTTGTCTTTTGATTTTCGTGTGCCTTCTTTTTGATAATCATTTCAACGGCTCATGTTGTTTCAGGTTCCAAAAATCTATGTCTCTCGATATTGCTATCGTGTCCCCTTAGATATATCCCGAGAGTATACTAATGATCAAATTATTAAAGGTGTGACAGAAAAAGAAGCTTTGAAGGCACCAATCAAAGATCATCCACCTTATTTTGTGCTCGGATTATCACGTAAAGTGGTGGATGAGTTCACGCCCAAGAAATCTACTCTATTTTTAGAAGGTATTTTTCTTTTGTGTTAATTAATCTTTTGATTTATATGTTAAGTTATCAAAATTTGTGTGTTGTTTTGTGTTAATAAGATCATAATGTTTTCTGTATGAAAATTTATGATCTTATTAACACAAAACAAACACACAAATTTTGATAACTTAAATATATAAATGAAAGAGTTAATTAACGCAAACGAAAAATACCTTGCAAAAAAAAAAAGAGTAGATTTCTGGGACATGAATTCAATCACCACCTTACGTGATGATCCGAGCACAAAATAAGTTGGACGATCTTTGATTGGTGCTTTCAAAGCTTCTTCTGTCACACCTTTAAGAATTTAATCATTAGTATACTCACAGGATATATCTAAGGGGACATGATAGCAATATCAAGAAACATAGATTTTTGGAACCTGAAGCAACAATTGAAACAACATGAGCCGTTGAAACGATTATTAGAAAGAAGGCACACGAAAATCAAAAGACAAACATTTAAAATAACTCAACTTATTTTCATAACCACAAATAAAAGCGGCACTGTGACCGTATCTAAAAACGTTTATGAATCTGGAAAATCAAATTAAGGCCGTTAAGGTCTGCCATGCATCCTAGCCACTCAGGCTTAGAGATGTAAAAACCATTTCACATCTCACTATAATACTGTGGTTGTTTGCTACGGAGCTCCAGCTCCAAGGCTTTTGTGTCTACATCCGGCATGCATCTTGGCCACCTGGGAATGAGCTGTGCTCTTGTCATTCTAGCAGGTATATTAGAATGGACGCCCGAGTCTATCCGCTCACAACAGCAATAACAGACTATTTCAGCCAAATCGCTAACAGCCGTCTCTGGTGGGCAAAACCACGTCAACGGGCAGCTCATATAACTGTGACCCTCCTCCATGCAAATTGAACAGCGGAGGGGTTCTTCAACAAAATCTGCAACCAAACCAAAAAAATAAAATAAAAAGTTCCTAGTTACTTCAGTAAAATACCCTAAAAAATTTTAGCAGCAAATATGCAAAGATTCAGTCTTAACGGATACCAAAGCAAAATAACAATCTGCAACCAGAAACTGAAGACCAAGAGAACAGCAATTCTACTGCCTACAATGGGCTTTTGTTTTAATTCCCTTGGGAAAGGTACAAAGTTACTAGTTACTTGATATCGTTGCCTATTGCCTCTTTCTTTCTGGTTGCATCAATTGATAAATTGCTTGTTACTTGAATAAATCACACATAATTTTTTAAGCAACTAAATTCATTCCCAGAAGAACTACACATGGATAGTCTAGACAGCTAACAATCCCCAGAAATAGAAACTTACAACAAGAAAAATCCGTACCAGTAGGTTCATCTTCTGCCTCAACAAGCGGTGATTGTTTAGTTGGCTGCAGTGCTTGATCATCATCCAGCGCCATGGGATCTGTCTTGTGTAAAATCGAGAAAGAGATTGTAAGAATATTAGGGTTTGTTGTAGTGAACTTGTGGTCGTGGGAAACTAGGAATTGGGAATTGGGAGGTAGCGTGCCTAAACATTTATTCTTCAACCCCCAGTTTCCGGCACACAAAAAAAAAAACACAAAAAGCAAAAGCATACATACATACCAGGTTTAGGTTTCTCCTCCTTCACATCTTCGGCCTCTCCAAGCTGTGGTTGTTTGGTATGGAGCTCCAGCTCCAAGGCTTTTGTGTCTACATCTGGCATGCATCTTGGCCACCTGGGAATGAGCTGTGCTCTTGTCATTCTAGCAGGTATATTAGAATGGACGCCCGAGTCTATCCGCTCACAACAGCAATAACAGACTATTTCAGCCAAATCGCTAACAGCCGTCTCTGGTGGGCAAAACCACGTCAATGGGCAGCTCATATAACTGTGACCCTCCTCCATGCAAATTGAACAGCGGAGGGGCTCTTCAACAAAATCTGCAACCAAACCAAAAAAATAAAATAAAAAGTTCCTAGTTACTTCAGTAAAATACCCTAAAAAATTTTAGCAGCAAATATCCAAAGATTCAGTTTTAACGGGTACCAAAGCAAATTAAGAATTTTCAACGGTTTATTATAAAGGTGTAATGTTAATGTGTGTAGACTCAAAACCGCATTCCTCAATCCTGAATCTGGCAACATATATACCACTACACTCTTAAAAGCAAGTTTGAATCGTTAATGAAACATATAAAGTTAATGGAGAAGCTAGCTACAGCAAATTGATGAAAGCACATATTTATGAACGAGTTACTGAATATCGACAAATTACTAGTTACTAAATATCCATTCTTGGAACCAACACAAGGATAACAATATCTCCCCAAAACATCACAAGCAAACGATTGATGCAACCAGAAACTGAAGACCTAGAGAAAAACATATCTACTGCCTATAATGGGCTCTTCTTCTAATTCCCTTCGGAAAGGTAAAAAGTTCCCTAGTTACTTGATATCTTTCCCTATTGCCTCGTTCTTTCTGGTCGCATCAATCGACAAATTACTAGTTACTTCAATAAATTACACAAAACTTTAAGCAACTAAATTCTTTCCCAGAACTACACATGGATAGTCTACACACCTATCAATTCCCAGATACAGAAACGTACAACAATAACGAGCAAAAATTTGTTGAGAATTTTACTCGATTTTTGTACCAATTTCCTCAGGGTATATACGCCTTAAATACTATTTTCAAATCAACTGAAATTACTGTCGCGATACCCCAGAGAACTTCATTCAATTACATAAACCAAAAATTGAATAAAAAAAGGATAAGTTTCAACATCAGAAATTCTGGTACCAAAACAGAAAAAAAAAAAATAAAGAAATTTGTCAAAACACAACAAAAAGCATACGTACCAGCAGGATCATCTTCTGCCTCACCAGGAGGTGATTGTTCATTTGGGACCGGTTCCTGATCATTCGGCGCCACGGGATTTGTGTCTGTAAAAGGGAGTAAGAGAATGTGTAAATTTTAGGGTTTGTTGTTGTGAACTTGTGTGGTGGAGGGAAATTGGGTATTAGGCAAGGCACCCCCACCCCACCAACAAAAAAAAAAAAGGTTCTTTTTAATCAAATGGTTAATAAGGTGTTATCTTTGTGTCAAAGTGCATTATTGAATCTTAACGAGTATGTACTCATACGAGCAAATTTCAATCGTTGATAACAAAAAATATAAATTAACGGAGATGCTCGCCGTATTCATGATCGATCGCAATGAAAAATGATTAGTTACTTGATATATATTATGCTATGTGGGTTATGCATCATCAATCATGCACGAACCAAACTAAAAGACCGTTTGATCTGTTTTTTTTGTTCAGATTATATAAAGCACATTTCAAGCAATGTCCGCACAAGTTATTAAGTATCAGTCTTGTCCGAAGGAAAACTAATTAGCAGCAAATATCCAAAGATTCAGGCTCAAAGGGTACCAAAGCAAATTAAGAATTTACAACAGTTTATAAGGGTGTAAGGTTAGCATGTGTCAAAACCGCCTGAATCTGACTATATATATATACCACTACACTCATAAAAGCAAGTTTGAATCGTTGATGATACATATAAAGTTAATGGAGAGGCTAGCTGCAGCAAATTGATGGAAGGACATTTATGAACGAGTTACTGAATATCGACATATTATTACTAGTTACTAAATATCCATTCTTGGAAACAACACAAGGATAACAATCTCTCTGCAAATTTTCACAAGGAAACGATTGATGCATCCAGAAACTGAAGACCAAAAGAACAACATATCCACTGCCTATAATGGGCTTTTGTTCTAATTACCTTTAAACAGTAAAAAATTACTTTCTGGTCACATCAATTGACATATTACTGGTTACTCAATAAATTACACAATTTTTAAGCATCCAAATTCATTCTCAGAAGTACACAAGGACAGTCTAGACGCCTATCAATTCCCAGAAACAGAAACGTACGACCATTTTTATACCAATTTCCTCAAAGTATATACATCTTAAATACTATTTTCAAATCAATGGTTAATAAGGTGTTACATTTGTGTGTCAAAACAGCATTCCTGAATCTAAACATATATATACTCATACAAGCTAATTTGAATCGCTGATGAAAATACATAAATTAATAGAGAAGCTAGCTATATTCAAGATCAATCCCGCCGAAAAATGACTTGATACTTGATATATATGTTATCCCCATGTGGGTTAGGCATCATCAATCATGCACGAAACAAACTAAAAAGACCCTTTGGTCTGTTTAATAGAGCACATTTCTAGGAATGTCTGCACAAGTTATTAAGTACGAGTCATGAATCTGACTACATATATACCATTAAACTCTTAAAAGCAAGTTTGAATCGTTAATGAAACATATAAAGTTAATGGAGAAGCTAGCTGCAGCAAATTGATGAAAGCACATATTTATGAACAAGTTACTGAATATCAACAAATTACTAGTTACTAAATATCCATTTTCGAAAACAACACAAGGATAACAATATCTCCCCAAAACATCACAAGCAAAGGATTGATGCAACCAGAAACTGAAGACCAAGAGAACAACATATCTACTGCCTATAATGGGCTTTTCTTCTAATTCCCTTTAAAAAGTAATAAGTTACTAGGTACTTGATATTGTTCCCTATTGCCTCATTTTTTCTGGTCGCATCAATTGACATATTACTGGTTACTAAATAAATTACACAAAATTTTTAAGCAACCAAATTCATTCTCAGAAGTACACAAGGATAGATAGTCTAGATGCCTATCAACTCCCAGAAACAGAAACACACGACAATTTTTATACCAATTTCCTCAAAGAATATACGTCCTAAATACTATTTTCAAAGCAATGGTTAATAAGGTGTTATATTTGTGTGCCAAAACAGCATTCCTGAATCTAAACATTTATATACTCATACGAGCAAATTTGAATCATTGATTAAAAAATATAAATTAACAGGGAAGCTAGCTATATTCAAGATCGATCCCGCCGAAAAATTACTAGATTCTTGATATATATGTTATCCCTATGTGGGGTAGGCACCATCAATCATGCACGAAACAAACTAAAAGACACTTTGGCATTTTTTTTTTTTTTTAGAGATTATATAGAGCACATATCTAGAATGTCTGCGCAAGTTAATAAGTATGGGTCATGTCCAAAGGGAATCTAATTAGCAGCAAATATCCAAAGATTCAGTCTTAATGGGTACCAAAGCAAATTAAGAATCTGCTATCAGAAACTGAAGACCAAGAGAACAGCTATATCTACTGCCTGTAATGGGCTTTTGTTCTAATTCCCTTTGCCTCTTTGGAAAGGTACAAAGTTACTGGTTACTTGATATTGTTCCCAATTGCCTCTTTCTTTCTGGTTGCATAAATAGACAAATTACTAGTTTTTTTTTCTTTTGGACAAACAACAAATTAATAGTTACTTCAATAAATTACACAAAATTTTTAAGCAACTAAATTCATTCCCAGAAGAACCGCGCAAGGATAGTCCAGACACCTATCAATTCCCAGAAACAGAAATTTACAACAATATGAGCAAAAATTTGTTGGGAATTTTACTCGATTTTACACCAATCTCCTCAGAATACATTCGTCTTAAATACTATTTCCATATCAATTAAAAATACTCTTGCGATATCACAGAGAATTTCATTCAATTACATAAACCAAAAGGTGAATAAACTCAATATAAAATAAGGACAAGTTTGACATCAGAAATTCTGGTACCAAAATGAAAAAATAAAAGAAATTCGTCAAAACACAAAAAGCATACCAGCAGGTTCATCTTCTACCTCAACAAGCGGTGATTGATCATCCAGCGCCTTGGGATCTGCGTCTGTGTAAAATCGATAAAGAGATTGTAAGAATTTTAGGGTTTGATGGGAATTGGGAGGTAGCGTGCCCAAACATTTATCTTCGACCCCCAGTTTCTGGCACACAAAAAAAACACAAAAAGCAAAATCATACATACATACCAGGTTCAGGTTTAGGTTTCTCCTCCTTGGAATCTTCTGCCTCTCCAAGCCGTGGTTGTTTGATAGGTCGCGGATCCTCATCGTCCCCGTCCGGACGGGTATTGGGCACCGGCGCCATTGGATCTCTGTCTGTGAAATCGAGAAAGAGACTGCAGGAATCGAATTGGGAAATTGGGAATTGGGAGGTAACGTTTTTATTTTCTTTTTCCTTTTTGGTCGAGGGAGGTCGTTCTTGAGGGCAAGTCGAACCCTAACTTTGTGCCAGCACCCGCCCATTTAGTAACAAGCTCCAACGCCAATGCATCTGCATCCTAAAAAAATGGCATTCAATGAAAAATATGCTCCATCTTTACAAAATACTTTGGCATCCAGCATATTTAAAATATTTTTAAATTTTTCTAAAAAAATAAAAAAGTTTTAATTTCGGATAGGATTTTTAATCAACCTCGTTACGCCACGTGTCATTATCCGAATATACTATTTTGTGAATAGATTTCCACTAAGATTTTCAACCAATCGCTATGTGTTACTTCCGTTTTACAATAATTTAGCCAAGATAAGATTTTCAACCAATCACGTCATGTCACATGTCATTATCCGAATGTATTATTTTGTGGATAGATTTCTAATAATATTTTCAACCAATCCCGACACACCACGTGTCACTTCCGGTTTACAATAATTTAGCCAAGATTTCGATAAGATTTTCAACCAATCACATAGTGCCACGTGACATTGTCTAGAACCTCATCCTTCCTTTTTTTGTCCATATAAACCCTACATACCTACATCCATCCTCACACCAAGCTCAATCCTTCTTTTTAGCTCAGAATCCTTGTTCATCATTTTCAAATCTTGAGTTCTTATTATAATGTCTTCTTCAAGGAGAGTGTATAAACAGTTGCAGGAGCAACAGAAAAGGTTGTTGGCACAACAAGCAAAATTAGCCAATCTCGAAGAAGGTGGAGGTGGAGATGAGGTTTTCTTTATGGAGGATGAGGATGATCACCATAGAAGGCATAGGGCCTCACATTCCCGTCGTGTCATGGAAGCTGTGGGTCAGATAGTCAAACCAAGACGTGCTACAAACCTCGATAGAAAAAGGGAAAGACGAGGTAAAGATCTCTTGGAAGATTATTTTATTCCCAACAGCATATTCCCTGATCATGTTTTTAGACGTTGTTTTAGAATGTAACGAAATTTGTTCGACAAAATCATGAGTGCTATTTGCAATCATGATCCATACTTTGTGAAAAAAAAAGGATGTTTTTCATGTTCTAGGTCTTATTCCCGAGTAAAAAATTACGGCATCCTTGCGAATGCTTGCATATGGAGCATCCGCAGATCAAGTGGATGAGATCGCGAGGATGGGAAGAACAAATGTTCTAAAGTCCCTGATGCGGATTTGCTCTGCAATTGAAGTCATCTACACCAATGAGTACCTCCAGATACCCACGCCAAGGGACATGCGCAGGCTTCTGAGGAAGGGTGAGATGCGAGGCTTCCCTGACATGATTGGAAGCATCGATTGCATGCACTGGACTTAGAAAAACTGTCCAAGTGCGTGGCAAGAAGCTTATGGTGACAGAAAATAAGCCAAAAACATTATTTTGGAAGCGGTGGCTTCATTTGATACATGAATTTGACATGTTTTTTTTTTGGTGTTCTAGGAGCTCAGAATGACTTAAATGTCCTTACCCAATCACCAGTGTTTGACGAACTGTTGCAAGGAATATGAGCTAGATCTGATGAACAACTCAAGAACACGTATCTATTATGCTCATGACCGGACCAAAGATCCCGTGCAACACGAGCCGTTGAAAAGCGATGGACGTTACAATGAATTGATAGTTCAGCGGTACACTGATGTGCAAGAGCCATACTGGCACATAACCCGCCAGAATGACTTGATTGAGTACCAGTGGGGATTGCATGAAGGCGAAGATAATTAAAATGAGGCTTGTGGTTGAAGAATAAATTGTATTTTTTTTTTAAGTTTATGTAATTCTATGTAGTGTGTTTTATTTTTAAATTTATTTGGTGAGTTTATGTAATCTTATTTTATGTGATCTTATTTTGTGAGTTTATGTAATCTTATTTGGTGAGTTTATCGGGTCATGAGTAGTGTGAACTCAACATTCACATAATGTAACATCTTCAATGAGCTTCCACGAAGACATTTTTTTTCTCGTAACGTGTAGAAAATATTGAAATGTAGATAGTATAGAAAGTGTAGAAAATATTGAAATGTGGTGTAAAGGTGGAAGATGAGGGTTAGGTATTTATAGAAAAAAAATAACATTTTTAAAAAAAAATTGTATTTTTTTTTTAATTTTCTGTATTTTTTAAATAATTTTTATGTATTTTTTTTATATTTTTTAATAAATTTTAATATGGTTAATTAATCTGGACCATTGGATTTGAAAAATATTCAAATCCAAGAGCCAGGGAGTTGCCATGTGGCCAACGGCCATATTTTTTATCGTTGGGCTTTTTTTTTATTATTTTATTTTTTTTGACAAAAAATGTGGACCATTGATATGTGATCGAACGGTCTATTTTAAAAGTCAAATTTAAATTTTTTTACCCTTGAAAATCCAACAGTCTATAAAAAATAGCCATTCGAAATCCAACAGCTAAAAGTGGGCCACGTTGCCTACTCGGGTTGTGGTCTGAGTGCGCCTGTGTGCGGGCCCCGCATCTAAAATGTTGTTGGGCATTCGCGCAACGGACCCCGTGACATGCACGTGCTAGCAAACTGCCCGGCTTCTTGGTCAGTCTGTTTTGGGCTGGCCCAGAGACCAGCATGGGCTGGGTGCCATGCTGTTTTGCGGGTTGGAGGAAATGGATAGGATGCTGGGCTGCTTTTTGGATTGGGTGCTGGGCAATGTCCACTTCGATAGACTTGCTCTAAACACGCGAGATATCCGAAATTTTCTAGGGCATTCGCCAATTAAATGAACGGTTGGATTATGTGGAGTAAAAGATCCAATGGCCATATCTATATATAATGACACACCCCGATCGTGGAATCAAGGCGTGTTGGCCGTCACGTGAGCGTGACGTAGCCACAAGTGCGACACGGAAGCAAGAGATAAGAGAAATATGAAAGAATTTAAACCAACCACTAGCAGTAATATCTTACTAGCATAATAGAGTGAGTTATAAGGTAAAACACACGAATTCAGAGCGTAGATACTAGGTGCAGTCAAGTAGGACCATAATTAAAAGTACAACACCCGCATGTGAGTCCTACATGCAGAACGTCTGTTAGAACGCCGAAAAGGACCTCGTGAGCCACCAACTGCTAACTAGAACCTGGAGGGGTGCAAAACAAAGTTGAGTGGGTCAGTAAAACCAAAGATTTTCCAAAACATTTCATTTAAAACATTTGTAACCCCTCATTGTAAAACCTGTATACTTTCCCAGAAAATAACATAATAGCATATACCTTCAAATTTCAAATCATTAATCTTTATCAAATCCAGCATTATGCAAGCAATAATGTCAATGATTAAAAATATGGATGCATCAATATAAGAGATGATATAATGAAATAACCGGAGACCCTACAATGGTCCTGTACGGCTAATTCTAGCTCAATATTTCCCCCCAGCCGGAGTCACCATAGTGACCTATGCGGCCCTACTCTGCACGTCACTCGAAACTACGTAAGGTAGTCTGTACGATGGAAAGGTGTAAGAATACGCTCTAGTGCTTCTTTCATCAATAATCGGCGTGCATAAACTAAGGTCACCCACTAGTCGGAATCACCTCTAGCGATCTATACGACTAGCATGTCGGAACCCTCACATGGTCTGTACGACATTCACCTACTTGGATCCAAGGCGAGTGTGCGGTGCAGTGAATACTATAAGCACTAACACCAAGGGTGCATGTTATGAGCTTTCAATGCAATTCACATAAAATAAATCGTATGAATAACGTAAAACTCACCTGTGCGTCCACAACGTCAATTCATATATATATATGCATCAATTATCAATTCAAATATCTCATCATAAGCATGCATGGCATTTTTAAAACATATTTTCATATAAATTCATTTTCTGGGAAAAACAATAGTATATAGGTAATACGAAAACAAAACTGCCCACTCGCTGGTAAGTCGATGGGTCGTAACCCCCGTGACATCCCTAGATGCGCTCGCCCTCGGGATAGGTGTCACCTATATGCGAAACAACTATAGAACCGTTAATTAAAACACATAACCAATAATTCGAAATAACTTTTCATACGGTGCTCAATTTGGGTATATGAATATACCACATCGACCTATTCGACGTCACAGACGTCGAGAAATTTTTAGAAAAATTTTCTGACGTGGTACACGCCCCCACGCGCCAGGGCATGCATGGGGACACGCGCCCCCCCACACGCATCATCTTCCTTGGCTCGCTGGACTGGTTTTTCCGGCGGCCGGAATTTGGGCAAGTTTTTAAAATGCTAGTTCTCCTTCGTTTCTCAACCGTTTTCTTCGAATTTTATATCAAAATGAAGCCCCAAGCATGTAGTTTCACAATATACTACTTTAAGGCTCTAAAAACAACTAAATCTCATTGGAAAAAATCCAAGAAAAACCGGCCAAAGTCGAACCTAGTGATCCCGACGTCCAAAACCTTTAAATGAAGCACTCCGAGCTTCCTTGGGACCTCACTAAACTCACTATAAGCTTAGAATTCCATGGAATGCAACATATCACGTTTGCATGAATAGTGACATAAAATGAGGGTTTGGGTTTCACGTGATTTTGAAGCTTTCACTACCTAAAATTAGTACCATTCAACTTAGGACGACGAAAGGATGAAGAACCATACCTTTTTAGCTTCAATCAGCGAAGTTTAGAGGGTTCTTGGGTGTGGCCGTACAATTCAAGAGGGAGAGAGTGAGAGAGCCGTGAGGGAGGAGAGAGAGAGAGATACGGGGTGAGTGAGGGAACAGGGAGTGTGTGTGTGTGTGTGTGTTGTGTGGTCTAACACAAATCCTCACCATCCATTTCTCTTCCTAGTTTCCTAACCACACAAACAATCCCACATAAGTTAATTCCAAAATTTATGAAATTTAAGTCTAAATAATGTCACACACACACATAACTTAATACCCGTCAAGGGTAATTCCATCATTTCACGTCCCCGATATAAAAATCTCGGGACGGGCTGTGACAATCTTCCCTCCTTATAGAATTTCGTCCCCGAAATTCATACAACCAACCAATCCACTTAATACTCATAAAATAGCCTTGGATACATCTCTCTCATTCGATCTTCTGTCTCCCAAGTAGCTTTTTCTACTGAATGGTTCCTCCACAATACTTTC